ATAGAAAGGAAAGTACACACCACCATATATATAATAAAGTTTCCAAGATGTTTACATAATTGTATTCATTACATGGTCAAAAGAAATACATAAACATCATTCAAAAGAAGTAATTAACGCCAGCGCGTTAATCCCAAAAGTTGATTCCCAAACCTGCTTAGCGGTTCCCTGAGAATACAAGTTATTTCAAAGAAAAGTGTCAACAATTAAGTTGGTGAGTTCATAAGTAGTTAGAAAAATTGGATGCCATTCCAAATGGGTGTATGTTTTCCAGAAAACGCAGCATTTTCAAATGTAAAGAGTTTATTTGTTTGTTGAAGTGAATATTAGATCCAGAAAATCCCATATTTTCCCTAATGGTTGAGATACGAGTTGTTGTGTTTTCCAAGAAAAACCTTATTTCTTATAAAGTGTGAAATGCATATGAATGTTCGTGTATAAGTTGTAAATAATTGCACCAGGAAAATCCCTTATTTCCTATTAGTTGTTTGGTTTGTATGTAGGAAAAACCCTTATTTTGCTAACATAAATGGCAATCTCTAAGACCGAAAATCGCAAGAAACCGACGTTCTCAAAAGTTGTGTCATAGTTTTATATAATAAAGCTATACGAAGATCGCATTTGTTAGATGAAGAATACTTTTAATAGCTACTCGTTCATAAAGCATAATACCATAATAATTGTATATCCGATGAGTTTTATAACCATACTAAACATAATATGCCTGTAACGACGTTCTTCAGGCGTCGCAGCGTTATGACAACTGTCACCCCAAAGACGGACTGTAGCTAACAGTCGGGCGCGGGATCATGACTTCCCGTATAGATCTATACACACATTTGACACGTTCTCCGAACGAGAGACTCTGGTTATAGACAGGACTTGCAGCATTACTTTCTAATAAAGAAAAAGTAACGTTTGAAGATTACACGTCTCATGGATTCTAATTAAGTTTTTATAAAGTGATAGTTTGTATGCAAAGTTTATCCTTTTTCACAATGTTTGACAAAGCAAAATCATAAGTTTTTTGAATGTATAAAACGACTTAACAATGAAGATCATTATATATTTCGTATAAGTCTAATGCACGCAAAAGTATGACAAGATTTTCCATAATAGTAATGAGTTCCAAGTGATTTATTCGGTAAAACAAGCTAAGTGAAACTTTATAAAATACACGATAATAACCATATGTTTACTTGTATTCCCCCCCTAAAAGAGTATAAAAGCATTTAAAATGTATTTAAAGTGTGTTTGAAAGGGGTATGAACTCACTTGAAAGCTTGAAGATAGCAAGATGGAAAACCGGGCAGAGTTTTGTCTCAGGAAATGGATTTTTCTCGGAACTCTCGGGATTCCACGGGAGTAAAATCGACCTTCGGGACTTGCACAAAATGACCAGGGCTTCGGGGTAGTGCGAGCACGGAAAACGAGGTAAAACGCAAGAAAAAGGAGAGAGAATGGGCCATTTTCCCGGGAACCCTCACATGCTATTTATAGGGGGGCCTGAGAGGCCTCGTACGCGGGACGTACGCTTGTACGCAACGCGTACGCATACGTCATGCGTGACCGAAGCCTTGACTGCCTCGGCCTCGGATGGGACGGCTCAGGCTGTCGGGTCGGATGGGACGGCGGGTCGGACGGGCGGGTCGGGTGCCTCGCATAGGGCGACGTGGACGGTTTGAGGCCAAGTTCCTTGGGTACGCGGGGCGTACAGGGGTACGCAGCGCGTACCTCAGATGAGGACGCTAACTCCCCTTCGGATAATACCAAAGTTTTAATAAAAATTCTATATAAATTAATTATCAAACTTCGAAAATTCATATCTCCTTCATACGAACTCCGTTTTTGACGTTCTTTATATCCCCGCGAAGGTGAGACTACGATCTACAACTTTCATTTAGATTCCGTTGGCAAATTCCGGAATTATTTTTATTATTTATTTATTAAAATGACGTGATTAAGGAATTTCTTTAAAAATTCATAACTTATTCATATGATGTCCGATTTGAGCGTTCTTTTTATGCATATTTGTAGTTTAATGATATCTACGACTTTCATTTAGACACCTTTGGTCGGAAAGTGTTTTATTGAAACTTTGCGTTTTTACGCAACTTCGTATTGCCGGTTTTTGTCGGAAAACTTAGAATGATCATAACTTCTTCGTTATAACTCGGATTTTTGTGTTATTTATATGTTTGGAAACCTTAAGACGATACCTACCACATAGTGTACTCCAAATAGAGTTTTTGAATACTTCATTTTTCGATGATATTCTAATTCCTTTCTCAAAGAGATTACAGGACTCGATTTTTACTGACTTGAAATAACGGGTTGTTACATTATCTCATATAATATTAACAAACTTCATCTCTAACGATCATATATATATATATATATATATATATATATATATATATATAATATATATATATATATATATATATATATATTCTTTAATGCATAAAGCTTACAACTAAAAATAAGATCTTTTTGAATCATTTTTTTCTGTTTTTTTATATATGAAAATGCAATGCAAAAAATAAAATTCAAAAAGGAAAATTGAAAAAAGTCAGCTAAAAAACTGAAAATTTGAAAAACTCTAAAATTTTTAACAAAAAAATGCAAAATTTTATACTAACCCCTTTCCCAAGCTTAAATTGATACATTGTCTTCAATGCTTAGAAAGGAATGTACAACTCAATAAAACATATAAAAACAAAAGGTTGCAGCTAGGAATGAATGTACCTGATAAGGTTGTAGAAAATCTAATCTTGAAGAAGATGCTGGCGAAAATTTTGAATTTCAGAAATTTTGAAGATCTTATGATTTCCCTAAGCATGCTTGGCACAACAACCATCTCTTTATTGAAAGAAGAAAAATAAACTAATACTATGTGGGTTGCCTCCCGGAAACTTGTCCTTTTTTAAAAATAATTGCCTGGACTTTGCCTAAAAATATTTTTAACTAGTGTAGTCGTGACTTCTTTGAAGCTCAACTCTCTTCTTCCTCACTCCAGATTTGTTCAAATGTGGCATAATGGGTGGATCTAATGGTTGTACAATAAACTGAAAAGGCATCAAACTTTTATCAACAGACTCATTGTTTTGATTTTTTATTCTCTTTCTTTTTCTGATTTTCTTTCTGGAAATGTTCTCCTTTTTCTTATTTTCTTTTTCAGCTTCGTATCAAAATCACCTTTTCCTCCCTAAGCTTAGATTTTTTATATGCTTCTTATCAGCTCCTTCAGCAAAAATCACATTGTCTTTCACCTCCCCAATCTTATTCCATTTCAGCTTGTTGATGTATTATCAAATAATTTTCTATCTAAAAATAAATCTTGCACGGAAACATTAGAAATGTCACAGCAGCCCTCATATATAGGACCACATCCCTATCAAATTCCATTGAAAGTGTCCAAAAAAAACATCAGTTTTTCTTTTAGCGTTTTTCAAATAGGTTCTTCCAAAAACTATTGTGTTTTCATCTGATACATATACCATGTCCATGTCCAGTATGTAAAAATCAGCAGGAAAAGTTAGTTCATTCACATGGACAAGAACATCCTCCAGTACACCTTTTGGGTGCACTGTTGAGTGATCAGCCAACTGAATGATTGTATCGATCTTTTATTAAGTTCTCAATTTTAATTTTTCAAAAACTGATAGTGGAAGGATATTGACTCTACCTAAATGAAGCATGACATTTGGAAAAGTAAGGTTTTCTAATTTATATGGAATCGAGAAAATACCCGAATCCCTACACTTTGGGGGTAAACCTTTTTCCAAAATAGCAGAAATATTTTTTCCAACTATGATTATTTTGTTAATTTCAGTTTTTACTTAGAAACAAATAAATCTTTTATAATCTAGGCATATCGAGGAACTTGTTTAATTATATGTAAAATAAGAATATTTACCTCCACTTTACAAAATTTTTCCATGATATCCTCGTTCTCTTGCTCACATTTTTGTGCTTCTCTGTCGTGCTGGGAATAGGGGCACCGAATTCTAATCTTTTAGATTCAGCTTGAGCTTCTTGAAAATGTCTTTTTGTCCAGCTTTGAGCTTCATTGTCTCCCAGAACTTCTTCAGATTCTTCTTCTAATTCTTCTTCTGGTTTAGAAATGCTTGGGTCTTCATAAATTTTCCCACTTCTCAAGGAAATCACGCTCACATTGTTCTTCAATTTTTTTCAGTTTGTCCTGAATTTCCTTGAGATTCCACCTGAACCACAAAAGTGGCAGGTTGAGACACTTGTTGTTACTGATTCTTGATACTAGCTCTGATGTGGATTCTGATTTTGAAAACTTTGTTGATTCGGAAAACTTTGCTGATGCTGAAAATTTGGCTGGTAAAAACTCGGAGGGTGCTGAAATTGTTGTCTTTATCGATAATTTCTGTTCTGATAAAAATGTGGACGTTGATTAAAATTTTTCTGCTGATACCATCCAACCGCTTTTACCGTAGTAGTGTCTGCTTGTAGTAATGGACACATATCCGTAAAATGGTCCGTCTTCAAGAGATTCCACATTGTTTGTTAGTAACTGCT